TGATCATCTGCAAGGAACTTTCAGTCAAGACCAGGGAATGGAAGAGGTAAGGGTGTAGCAAGGGGAGTGTGTGGAGAGTGGCGGCTGCCAGCCTCTCTAGTAGGTAATCTGGGCCCTGCAAGGATGAGCTGTGGTGAACCCAGGTTACAAACCAGGTATCTGACACCACAGGGAGTCTGCACAGAGCTGCTGGGAATATTTTCAGCCTTGTCCTTCCCAGGCCATGGGGGTCAGAATGAGGTAAGAATGGATATCTGCATTTTCCCGCTTGGTTGTTCTAAGAACTACATTGGGAAAACTGATGTCCTAACCCGGTCTCCAACCTCAACTTTGAGACACAGTAGTCACTCAGACATGTGCCCAGTCACTAACTATGACATGGGGGTTGGGGGGGGAATGGGTGGATGGGTGCATGGAGAATGGTGGCTGATCACCCCTTGCCAGAACTCAGGACCCAGCTCTAGCCTCAGGCCTTCAGTCTGAGTCTTCACAATGTTTTCAACTGTACTTTTAGACAATTCCTGCTCTGGTCCTGCGCTTTGGATGGTGGAGCAGACAACGGTTGCCTACTTTTCCGGCTGGTACTGTGACTTGCTGGAATTATCCTTGGTGGACTCAGCCCTCCAGGTTCAGCTACTAGTCTGCACCAAGTTCTCACCTGTACTTTGTCATATCTTGCCCTGGGCCTATGATCAGGGCTGGAAGTATGTGTGGAGAGTGGTGCCTATCTCTTCCTACCTGGAAAATCAGAGTGTCTAGAACTTGCTTTGATGAATCCAAGGATCTACCCTCAGCTCTAAATCTGCACTGAGCTCTCCTATTAGCTTTCACTCATGGCCTTCAGCAGTTGTGAGGTTGGCTTGCTCAGAGTTCGTCCAAACCCTGCTTGGTGATGAGGGCCCGGCCATGCCTTGTGTTGGGCGACATAGGTATTCACTCTGGAAACTGGAATGAATGGTCAGCTGTGCTTTCTCTCTGTTCATACGCCTGCCATGGGTGCTTCTGTGAGGTTATGGGAAGAGGCTTGAGTGCTATGTGACTCTGTTTGGAAACTTGAACCCACCTTAAGCAGGCTTGACAAAAGGAGGCCATTTATCTCCAAGGATGCAGCACACTGCCTGGTAAGTATCAGGGTGTGGGTTGGGGCTGAGGTTGGAATTAAGGCTAAGGAATAGTGTTGTTAGGTGTCCAGGGTGGTGGTAGGGGTCAGAGTGGTTAGGGCTACTGTTGCTAAGGTTGGTATGATTTGGGTCAGGGTTCAGATTGTAAGATTGTTGATGTTAAGGGTAGGGTGAAAGTTACTCACCTTTGAGCTACTCAGGATGAGAGGTAGAATTAAGTTTTTGTTTATGGTTCAGAAACAGGTTAGAGCAGGTGTTGGGTTTTCCATTAGCTTCACAGAGCATGGTAGTGTTAAGGAATAAGTTATGGCTAGAGTCAGTGTTACAGAAAGATAGTGAAATGTGGTAAGGGAATGGATTAGGATTAGGATTATGGAATGGGTCAGGCTCAGGGAGTGGGTTAGGGAAGGGGTTAGGGACTGTGGTAGACAAAGTATGAGGTTAGAGATCCTGTTAGGGAGAAATGTTAAGATAAGGGTTTAGGAAATGTTGAGGGCTAAGGAACAGGTGAGTGAGAACTTTATGGGATAGGTTGGGGTTATGGGAATGGTTTATGAAACAGGTTACAGAACAGGTAAGAGTTAGGGAACTTGTTAGGGAAAGGGTTAGGGCAAGGGTTAAGCAATGTGTTAGGCATGAATGTGTCAGGTACACAATTATCATCATATGGTTTGGGTTAGTGAATAGTTTAGGGTGAAGCATAACATTGGTGATTGGCTTAGGATATGTGTTAGGGTATGGTTTGGGTTAGGGTACATGTTAGGGTGTGAGTAAGGGTTACAGTTAGGGTGCATAATAGGAGTCCATGTTAAGGTATGGGATAGGGTTAGACTATGAGCCATGTTAAGGCTGTATTAGGATAGGCTACATGCTAGGGTACATGTGAGTGTATGTGTTAGTGTAGGGTTTGAGTTATGGTTAGGGTTATGTTTTGGCTTAGAGTTAGGGCATGTGTTTTGGTATGAGGTAGGACTTAGGGTAGGTGTTAGGGTTTGTGAGTGGCAGGAAACTTGGTGACACTCTTATCTCCAATAAACCATCAGAAAACCAGAAGTGGGGATGTGGCTCAAGTGGTAGAGCCCTAGCCTTGAGCTGAAGAGCTGAGGGACAGCGCCCAGGCCCAGAGTTCAAGCCCCATGGCTGACAAAAAAAAAAATTTCAAGGGTTCTAGCTTTGGACAAAGTCCGTCTCTACTCTCAAGGTAGAAGTTGTATCTCCAAATAAGCTAGATAGATGAGGATTGGATTGAGATTGATTTGGACTGTGTCATCCTGTTTAAAGGCCCTGTACTCTTCCCTTCAGAAACACAGTTACTGCAGAGTGAGTCCTGAGCCTGCTGCCTGAGCCCTTATCTCTACCCTGTGATCTGTTTCAGGCCTGGGCAGGGGTAGATAAAGCCTGTCTACAGCCATCCCAGAGCTGTGCTAACACCTGGCCAAGAACCTGGGAGGCTGTCACGCTGCTCACCTGTAGCCAGTGCACCCCTGGAAGTCCTCAGGCCTCGATGAGGAGGAAGGTGCTGGGCCTGGCTGCCAGGGTTCCTGAGCTCAGAGGATGTGTTGAGGCAAGCGTTGGGTAGATAGCCATTTGCCTGCCTGCTCCAGAGGACTGGATCCCTTTCTCCCACCATGCTGGCTCCTCCAGTATCAGAGGGAAGCAGCAGTAACTACTGTGTTTTAGGCTGCTATGGTGGGTGCCCACCAGACCCCAGGCCCTTTCCAGACTTGGCCTGGATCTTTCTTATGTCCAAGAGAGCCCTGAAACCCAGCAAAGGGCTTCTTGTAAGGAAGATGGCCACAGTCAGAGGACTGAGCACTCTCAGGGCATTTTGCTCTCTCATTCTGGGCAGGCAACATGCTGTCCTGAAAGTTCCCAAACTCAGACTTGGCCAGCTGCTTCATGTGCACATTGAGAAATGAATGCCCCTGTTGCTGACTGTTGTTAGGCCTGGGCCTCTTGAGAAGAGTCACTTCACACTGTTCAGAGGCCTTTATGTTGATGGAGCAGGAGGCCCTTCATCAATCTTCACTCCTGTGGAGAGGAGTCCCAATCCTGAACATCCTGACACCCAGACTCTTTCTTCTCTTTTCCCTCCAGGCGTCACTGGGAAGAAGGGTGTGGATATGCAGCCTGTTCTACCCTCGCACCTTTAAAGGGCCAGCCTGGCTCAGTGGACACAGGCAAGGTACCATGACCAGGTGGAACAGCCTCTTCATGCACCTTCCTGAGTTACATTCCCTACTGAATTTACAAGGAACGTCTTGGCTGTTCAAAAGTATAGGTGACTCTGAAATCCTTCTGGTCCAGCATCAGCAGGGTAGAGGCTCACCAGCTTCACAATGTATACCCCTGTTTCTCTCTCTCTCTCTCTCTCTTCTCTTTCTTTCTCTCTTTCTCTCTTTTCTCCCTTCCTTCCTTCTTTCCTTCCTTCCTTCCTTCCTTCTTTCCTTCCTTCCTTCCTTCCTTTCTTTCTTTCTTTGTGAAAATACCATACAGAGGGGTTACAATTATATGGGCAAGGTAATGAATACATTTCTTTCTTTTTTTTTTTTTTTGGTTGGTCGTGGGGCTTGAACTCTGGGCCTGGGCGCTGTCCCTCAGCTCTTCAGCTCAAGGTGAGTGCTCTACCACTTGAGCTACAGCGCCACTTCTGGTTTTCTGGTGGTTTATTGGAGATAGGAGTCTCACAGTCTCTCCTGCCTGGGCTGGCTTTGAACCGCAATCCTCAGATCTCAGCCTCCTGAGTAGGTAGGATTACGGGCGTGAGCCACCAGCGCCTGGCTTATGAATACATTTCTTATCAAGCCTTGTTGCTCCTCCTTTGTTTCCCCTTCCAATCCCTTCCCATCTCCCACCCATCCTAGCTCTCCCCTCGCCCTCCCACCCCCCCCCCCCCGCACCAAAGTTGTAAAGTTAATTTTTCCACATAACATCTTGTACATCTCATTGTTGCAATGGGTCCACCTGTATCCCTATTTAAACAATTTGTTTTTTCCCTTCCCCTCCACAAATTATACCAACATCAACTACAATGAAAACAGGTGGGGGAGGGACATACAAAGCAACAAAGAAATCACCTTATAAATATGTTAGAAACAATTGCTTGAAAGCAAAAACTTTTGAATCCTTATCTTGGGGTTCATTTCGGCTAACATCAGCTTATCTGACCTTTTCTGCTTGTCTTAGACATATACTAGTTATTACAAATAAGGGAAAGCAAGGGACCTATGCTTCCTTGGGCCTGGTTTACTTCACTTAATATAACTTTTTCCAAGTCTTTCCATTTCCTAACAAATGGGGCAATGTCATTCTTTCTGATGGAGGCATAGAATTCCATTGTGTATATATATATCACATTTTCTTGATCCATTCATCTACTGAGGGGCATCTGGGTTGGTTCCATATCTTAGCTATGGTAAATAATACTGCAATAAACATAGTTGTGCTGGTAGCTTTACTATGGTCTTGTTTGTGATCATTTGGGTAAATGCCCAAAAGTGGGATTGCTGGGTCATAGGGGAGCTCTATGTGGAGTCCTTTGAGGAACCTCCATACTGCTTTCCAAAGTGGTTGAACAAGTTTACACTCCCACCAACAATGCAGTAAGGTTCCCTTCTGTCCACATCCCCTCCAGCATCTGTTGTTATTAGAGTTCTTTTTTTTTTTTTATTGTGAATATACTCTACAGAGGGGTTACAATTACATGGGCAAGATAATGAGTACATTTCCTATCAAGCATTGTAGCCTCCTCCTTTGTTTACCCTTCACATCCCTTCCCAGCCTCCCCCAACACCCCCACCCAATCTCCTCCCCACCCCCAACCAAAGTTGTAAAGTTCGTTTTCGACATGACAACTTGTACTTCTCACTGCTGCAACAGGTCCACCTGTATCCTTATTTAAACGACTTGTTTTTCCCCTTCTCCTCCACAAATTATACCGATATCAAATACAGTGAAAGCAGGGGTTATACTGTGGGGGAGGGACATACAAAGCAACAAAGAAATCACCTTATAAATATGTTAGAAACAATTGCATGAAAAAAAAACATTTAAATACATATGTTAGGGTTCATTTTCCTAACATCACTTTATCTGACCTTTTCTGCTTGGCTCATACATATACTAGATATTGCAAATAAGGGAAACCATGGGACCTATGTTTCTTTGGGCCTGGCTTACTTTACTTAATAAAAATTTTTTTCCAAGCCTTTCCATTTCCTAACAAATGGGGCAATGTTATTCTTTCTGATGGAGGCATAGAATTCCATTGTGTATATATATCACATTTTCTTGATCCATTCATCTACTGAGGGGCATCTGGGTTGGTTCCATATCTTAGCTATGGTAAATAATACTGCAATAAACATAATTGTGCTGGTAGCTTTAGTATGGTCTTGTTTGTGATCATTTGGGTAAACTCCCAAAAGTGGGATTGCTGGGTCATAGGGGAGCTCTATGTGGAGTCCTTTGAGGAACCTCCATACTGCTTTCCAAAGTTGTTGAACAAGTTTACACTCCCACCAACAATGCAGTAAGGTTCCCTTTTGTCCACATCCCCTCCAGCATCTGTTGTTATTAGAGTTCTTGATTCTAGCCATTCTAACTGGAGTGAGGTGGTATCTCAATGTTGTTTTGATTTGCATTTCTTTTATGGCTAGGGAGGTTGAGCATTTCTTCATGTGTCTATTGGCTATCCTTCTTTCCTCTTCAGAGAAGTTTCTCTTTAAGTCTTTAGCCCACTTATTTATCAGGCAGTTGTTTCTTTGAAGATTTGTTGTTGGGGGATTTAATTTTTTGGGTTCCAGGTATATTTTTGATATGAGACCCTTGTCCGTTGTATGGCTAGTGAAGATCTTCTCCCAATCCATGGGCTTTCTATTGATCTTGCTAGCTATGTCCTTTGCCATGCAGAACCTCTGCAATTTCATGCAATCCCATTTGTCCAACCTTTCTTTAATTTGTTGTGTTTCTGGGTCTCTTTAAAGAAAATTTCCTCCTGTACCAAGGAAACCTAGGGTTTTTCCTATTCCATCCTGTAATGTTTTTAGGGTGTCTGACTCTGAGGTCTTTGATCCATTTGGAGTTGATTCTGGTGCAGGGTGATATATAAGGATCTAGCTTTAGTTTTCTACAAGTAGTTAACCAATTTTGCCAGCACCATTTACTGAAGAGGCTGTCTTTCTTCCATTCTATTGTTTTAGCTCCCTTATGGAAGATTAGATGGCTATAGGTCTGTAGGTTCATTTCTGGGTTTTCAATTCTATTCCATTGGTCCTGAGGTCTGTTCTTGTGCCAATACCAAGCTGTTTTGAATACTATAGCTTTGTAGTGGAGTTTGACATTTGGTATTGATATTCCTCCAGCACTTTTCTTTCTATTAAGGATCGTTTTTTGCTATTTGGGGTCTTTCATTGTTCCATATGAATTTTTGGATTGCATCTTCTATTTCCTTGAAGAATGAGGTTGGAATATTGATAGGTATCCCATTGAATTTGTAGATAGCCTTGAAAAGTATTGCCATTTTCACGATGTTGATCCTTCCAATCCAGGAGCATGGGAGGATTTTCCACTTTTTTTTTTTTTTTGGGTCCGGTCATGGGACCTGAACTCTGGGCCTGGGCGCTGTCTCTGAGCTCTTCAGCTCAAGGCTAGAGTTCTACCACTTGAGCCACAGCGCCACTTCTGGCTTTTTTCTTTTTGCTTATGTGGTACTGAGGAATTGAATCCAGGGCCTCATGCATGCAAGGCAAGCGCTCTACCACTGAGCCACCTTTCCAGCCCTGGTTTTTCCACTTTCTAAGTTCTGTTTTGGAGGGAAAAGGGGAGGGGAGGGAGAAAAAAAAAGTTCTGTTTTGATTTCCTTTTTCAAGTTTTTAAAGTTTTCATCTTAGAGGTTCTTCACTTCTTCGGTTAAGTTAATTCCTAAGTATTTTATTTTTCGTGGGGCTATTATGAATGGAGTTGCTTTCCTGATTTCAGCCGAGCTTTTCTCATTGTTGGCATAAAGAAAAGCCATGGATTTTTGAGGGTTAATTTTATACTCTGATACTTTGCCAAAATTTTGCATCAGCTTGACTAATTTTGGAGTGGAGTCAGTGGCATTCTTTAAATACAAGTTAATGTCATTTGCAAAGAGGGAGAGTTTTACTTCATCTTTCCCGATTTGGATCCCTTTTATGTTTTCATCTTGTCTTATTGCTATAGCTAGGCATTCTAATACTAAATTGAAGAGAAGTGGAGAGAGTGGACATCCTTGTCTCATTCCTGTGTTAAGAGGAAATGGCTTTAGGTTTTAATCATTAAGTATAATGCTGGCTGTAGGTTTGTCATATACAGGCTTTATTGTATTGAGGAATGTTTCCTGGATTTCTAGTTTTTCCAGAACCTTCATCATAAATTGGTGTTGAATCCTGTCAAATGCTTTTTCTGCATCTATTGAGATAACCATGTGGTTCTTATCCTTGCTCTTGTTGATGTGATGAATTATATTTGTTATCCTTGCTCTTGTTGATGTGATGAATTATATTAATTGATTTGCATATATTGAACCAGCTTTGCATCCCTGAAATGAATCCTGTTTGATCGTGGTGTATGATTTCTTGGATGACTTGTTGAAGTCGATTGGCCAAATTTTTTTTGAGAAGTTTTGCGTCAATGTTCATCAAGGATATGGTTCTATAGTTCTCTTTCTTTGATGAGTTCCTGCCTGGTTTTGGAATGAGGGTTATCATGGCTTCATAGAATGAGTGTGGGAGTGAACTTTCTCTATCAATTTCATTGAGGAGTTGGAGGAGTATTGGTGTGAGCTCTGCTTTGAATGCCTTGTAGAATTCCGCTGTAAAATCATCTGTTCCTGGGCTTTTCTTAGATGGGAGGTCTCTTATTGCTGTTTCTATTTCAATGCTTGATATGGGCCTGTTAAGATGGTTTGACTCATCTTGGTTTAGTTTTGGCATGTCGATATTTGCTAGGAAAAAGTCCATTTCTGCTAAGTTCTCAAACGTATTAGCATAAAGGTTTGAGAAGTATTCCCTTATAATGTTCTGAATCTTGGTTGTTTCTGTAGTGATGTTTCCATTCTCATTTCTGAGTTTATTTTGTCATTTTTTTGAAGAACCAATTATTTGTTTTGTTGATTATTTTTATGTGTTTTTTTTTTAGATTCTAATTCTTTTAATTCTGATTTAATTTTAATTATTTCTTTCTGTCTACTGGATTGGGGTTTATCTTGCTGTTCTTTTTCGAGGAGGTTCAGATGTTTCATTAAATTGTTGGTTTCAGATCTCTCCAATTTGTTGATATAGGAACTCTCTGAGTATTGCCTTTGTTATGTCCCAGAGGAGCTGGTAATTTGTGTGTTCATTTTTGTTGAATATCATGACATTTGAATTTCCTTTCTAATCTCTTCCATGACCCACTCATGATTCAGCAGTGTGTTGTTCAGCCTCCATATGTTACCGGACTTTCTTTGGTGGCTTTTGGTGTTGAGTTCTAATTTTATTCCCTTGTGGTCTGAGAGAATACAAGATATAACTTCAATGTTTCTGAATTTGGATGAGAGTGCTTTGTGACCTAAAATGTGGTCTATTTTGGAAAATGTTCCATGTGCTGCTGAGAAAACATGTATTGTGATGCTCCTGGGTGAAATATTCGGTAGATGCCTGTTAAATCTAGTTGACCTATGCAGTTGTTTAGATCTGAGGTTTCTTTGTTGTGTTTTTGCTGAGTTGACCTATCTAGTGGGAATAGTGGTGCGTTAAATTCCCCAACAATTAATGTCTTTGGATCTATGTGAGCTTTGAGGGAAAGTAGTGTTTCTTGGATAAATTTGGGTGCTCCGTTGTTTGGCAAATAGATATTTAGGATTGTAATATCCTCCTGAAGGAGAGATCCCTTAATTAGTATGTAGCCACCTTCTTTATCTCTTCTCACTAAATTTAATTTGAAGTCTATTTTATCTGATATTAGGATTGCAACTCCCGCCTGTTTATGGGGGCCATTTATGTGTTAGATTTTGTTCCAGCCTTTCACATTAAAAATGTGTTTGTTTTTATGGGTACTCGAACTCAGGACTTGATCCTTTGGTTCATTGACTATCAGTCTACCAACTTGGCCACACCTCCATCACCACATTCAGATGGTCTCAGCATTCATGCTTCTGTTCAGTAGCACATGCATTCTTTCGAGTGCCCATTGGGGTTGCATGTGACTTTCCAAGGATGGCTCCAGCTGCAGCCTCTTGAAGAGGTAGGGGTAATTAGGGGCCCACTGCAAAATCTCTTCTAAACTGAGTGGGGTGCCTCTTGCCTATGCTCTTGCTATAGAGGAAGCGAGGTGTGTGCACGATGGTGGGAAGGCAGCTTAGACAGTGGGAATAGAAACAAAAAGTTTTCCTTGTCAAATGACCCCAGGGCTTAAGTCACCACTATATGGACCCACCTTCCAGCCACTGGGCCTCTGGACTAACCACCCTCAGTTGTCAATCTTCAGTTTGCAGGGCCACAGTTGTTCAGAGGTTGGCCTCAGTATACCTTACTTTTCCCTGCTCTGTGCATTCCCATGGAGCTCCCCACGAACAGATGAGTTCCAAAGGTTGCAATGACCATGCTGCAGCCCCTCGGGTTTCAGACTGTGACTGTAGCCACTGCTGCCTCCTTTTTGGCTGCTCACCCTCATCCCTCACCTGTCAGTGCCAAAAGTTCCTCCAGGAGAACCCCTCCACCCAAATATACCCCAGACTTCCAGTGACTTCTGGTGGTCAGTATGACCTACATGACCACTAGAAGAGCCTGAGGATAAATGTTACACACAGACATGAAGAACTAGTATGAGGGCTTGACCTTCAAGGCCTCTGCAAATGGAGGTTTGACCCCTATAAATTTTGCTTGA